AGGGTGTTGCCGTGGATGTGATCTTTTTGGATTTTGCCAAGGCATTTGATACAGTTCCACACAATAGATTGAGTGTTCAAACTCAAGGAAATGGTCTAGATGAAAATGCTTGTTCTTGGGTAGAACATTGGCTTAAAAGCAGAGTACAAAGAGTTGTCATTAATGGTAAATTTTCAAGCTGGACAGAGGTGGCAAGTGGTGTCCCTCAGGGGTCTGTTCTGGGACCCCTTCTATTTAACATGTTTATAAATGATCTTGAAGACAGCATTGAAAGTCATGTTTCAGTGTTTGCAGATGACACAAAACTTTGTAAAACAATACAATGTGAGCAAGATATTACTTTGCTGCAGAGGGATTTAGATAGACTGGGAGACTGGGCACTCAAATGGCAGATGAAATTTAATGTTGAAAAATGCAAAGTTATGCACTTCGGCGTAAAGAATACACAAGCAACGTATACCCTTAATGGAAGCGAATTAGGGATAACAACACATGAAAAGGACTTGGGAATTGTTATAGACAACAAACTATGCAACAATGTGCAATGTCAATCAGCAGTGGCCAAGGCCAGTAAGGTATTGTCATGCATGAAAAAGGGCATTCATTCTCGGGACAAGAATATAATTTTGCCTCTTTATAAATCACTGGTAAGACCCCCATATTGAATATGCTGTGCAATTTTGGGCACCTGTTCTAAAGAAGGATATTATGGCACTAGAAAAAGTGCAGAGGTGGGCTACAAAATTAATAAAAGGAATGGAACATATCGGCTATGAAGAAAGGTTAACAAATTTAAACCTATTTAGTTTAGAAAAACGTCGCCTGAGAGGGGATATGATAACATTATACAAATATATTCGGGGCCAATACAAACCATTGTGTGGAAATCTATTCACAAACCGGACTTTACATAGGACACGAGGCCATGCGTTTAGACTGGAAGAAAGAAGATTTCGCCTAAGGCAAAGGAAAGGTTTTTTTACTGTAAGAACAATCAGGATGTGGAATTCTCTGCCTGAGGAAGTGGTTTTTCTCAGAGTCCATACAGATGTTCAAACGGCTACTAGATGCATACTTGCAAGAACAGAATATTCAAGGATATAATCTTTCAATGTAGGGTAATAACTGCTTGATCCAAGGATAAATCTGACTGCCATTCTGGGGTCAAGAAGGAATTTTTTTCCTAGCTTGTTGCAAAATTGTGCTTCAAACTGGGTTTTTTGCCTTCTTTTGGATCAACAGCAAAAAACAAATGTGAGGAAGGCTGAACTTGATGGACGCAAGTCTCTTTTCAGCTATGTAACTATGTAACTATATGAAAAGGAGAGTATTGTTGTTGGCTAATAATAATAAGTGAGCAACCTAGCTCAGCCCTGCTGCTGGACATTGCTATAAGGAAGGTAAAAAAAATAGAAAAAAGGGGAAGGGGAGTTCGGAGGGAGAGGAGGGGAGCTGATGCACAGATAAGAAATCATATTATGAGCAAACAGAGAAATTGTCTGAATATCACAAAAAGATGAGACCTTCATTTGTTCCTTACGAAAATCGAACCAGATATCAAATATTTAGTCTCTCAGCATCAACCTCAAGGATCTCATTAATCACTAGTTAAAGGTAATTTCAATTTACTTTATTGTTTTCTCATTAAACTTTATAAAGTTAAAAACATTATAAACATGCATAAAGTAGAAATTAAAAATATAAATCTACGTACATTTAAAAAAAAAAAAAAAAAAACACCCTCCTTTCTAAAAAGTATTCTGCATTTGTGCGAAAACTGGTGGGCGGTAAGGAAATTTTTCCATCAAGAAAGATGCATTAGTGGGCGGTAGGTAGAAAAAGGTTGACTACCCCTGTTGTAGAGAGTAGAGGTAAAGCAAAAATATTACATAATATTTACTGCAAAGTGATTTGATTGGAAGGCACCTGGCATTTTATATTTAGGCATTTTGTTCTGGAAGACCATTTTCTTTTAGACCCCATGCCTTCCACCAGGGCTGGACAGGGAGAAAAATTCGTCCCGGGCATTTTTTTATCACATCGGCCCACTAAGAAGGGGGCGGGGCAGAGAGGGTGTGTTTCGTCATCACCAATGACAAACACTCCCCCTCTCAAAGTGAGCATGTTGGTTCAATGCTCTTCCAGGGCAGACCATGCGCAGAACTCTGCTAAAGAGCTCTAGCATGAGAAAAAAAGCCCTGTATTTGTTCTGCACAGTGCAAGCAAATTTAATAACATGCTTGCACTGTGTTTCCTTGCAACTTGTCTCTGGTGTCTCTCTATAAATGGATACCAGGAGACAAAAGGGCCAGGAAAGAGTATTTTGCATGTGTTTGGAGCCTGCCCGTGGAATTGCATGTGTGTAGAGTGAGCTGATTGTGGTGTGGAATTGTGTAATAAGGTCGGTTTTAGTCGTGTTGTGTTTGTGGTGTAATGTGATGCATATGTGGCTAGGGGCTGTAGAGAATGTGTGTATAGGGGATGTAGCAAGAGTGTGTGCATACAGGCTATAGTGTGTGTGTGTGTATTGTGATGTAGTGTTTGTAGAGGTTGTAGAGAGTATGTGTTTAGGGGTGTAGTATGTGTTTGTTTACAATGAATCTAGTGTGTTTATAAGGGATCCAGAGTGTGTATTTTAGGAATGTAGTTTGTGTGTGTAGATGGTGCAGTGTGTGTGTATACAGGAGTCTAGTGTGTGTTTGAAGGACCCAGAATGTGTCAGAAATCTAGTGAGTGTGTGTATATAACGGATTCAGAGTGTATAAAGGGATCTAGTGTGTGTATATGATCCAGAGTTGGGTAAGGGATCTAGTGTGTATCTGGAAAGTAATGTGTTTAGGAGTGCAGTATGTGTGTGAGGGGTGCTGTAGTGTGTATGTGTGTGTGTGTGTATATATTATAAATATGTTTGAAGTATTGTGTGTGTGTGTTTGGTGCAGTGTGTATGTGTGAGGGGTGCAGTGGGTGTCTGTGAGGGATGTAGTGTGTATGTGAAGGGTGCAGTATGTGTGTGTGATGGATGCTGTGTTTGAGGGGTGCTGTGTGTGATGTGTGTGTGTGGGTGCTGTGTGTGAGGATGCTGTTTATGATGTGTGTGAGGTTGCTGTGCGTGATGTGTGTGAGAGTGCTATGTGTGAGAGTGCTATGTGTGATAGGTGTGAGAGTGCTGTGTGTGATGTGTGTGAGAGTGCTGTGTGTGATGGGTGTGAGAGTGTTATGTGTGAGAGTGCTGTGTTTGAATATTAGAAGGGATTGTGTTTGGGGGGTGGTAAAAAATAAAAATAAGCAGGCATTAAACACCCCCTCCCTTCTTACCTTTAGCCTGGGAGAGGGGGACCGGCATGGTGGTACCAAGTTGAGAGAGGCGGGGTAGACAAGCACTCGCACTCCGACACCATCTCTGGTGGTCCAGTGGTGAGTGAACTTTAGCCTGTGGGCTAGAGTTCACTCTCGCGAGATCCGGATCTCACGTGAGGAACCCGGCGGACATGCGGCACATGCGGCGCACCCCCCCTTCCCAGCCGCATGTGCCGCATGTCTGTCCAAGTGGGCCGGTGAGGGAGATCTTTGATCTCCCCACCGGTCCATAAAGGCACACAGCATGGGCTGGTGCTCTGATAGTGCCGGCCCTGCCTAGACTGGCAGGGGAGATCCTGTGACCTCCCCTGACGGCCTCGGTCCATGGCCACCGCGGCCCATCGGGCATTTACCCGGTGTGCCCGATGGCCAGTCTGGGCCTGCCTTCCACTCATAATATCAATGCTTCAAACAATTGACAATATGTCTGTAACTTACATCACACAGGCTGACCTTTGACTGTACTGTATTTTTCCTAGAAACACTTACTCCGGCATCTCACAGAAATCAAACAGAATCCTCAATTAGTGCTATATTTTATTGTGTGAGTAATTTTAAGTGCTCCTAAATGTTTTGGTGTTTCATAAACACATTGAACAGATCGATTAGAACCCTTTCTATCATCTAGACCAAGCTTCCCCAAACTCTGGCCCTCCAGATGTCGCTGAACTACAACTCCTATGATTCTCAGCCAATTTCATTCATAGAATCATGGGAGTTGTAGTTCAGCGACATCTGGAGGGCCCGGAGTTTGGGGAAGCCTGATCTAGATTATCCCTATCTGTACAAAACATATTTTTTTTCACCAATAGGATCACTGGAAAACAAAATCTGCATTTGACACTGACTGTTTCCGCATCCTGCCTGTCTGCAAGGACCCGGAACCATTTTATTCTATAATAATTGTTTTGGGCTTTGTACATAGAACCTGAAAGACATTCATTTTTTCCTGTCTTTAGCACCCAGACTCTCTTTCATACTAAACACTTCTAGTTCTCTCACTTTTATCTCACATTCTTTCACCCATTCTCTCACTTTTAGCCAGCATTTGCACCTCAACTCACAAGCCCCAAGCTTTCCCTCACATACCCTTTTGCAATACATTCTACCCCAAGTCACTGACTGCACTCTTATACTCATGACATCTTCTCATTCTGCCACTCACATAATCCCTTACACATCCTTTTAACTTGTCCATACTTCAGACAGTTAAGCTTTCCTAATGTTAGCACTGATGGTTCTTACTCATTGTGTCTCTCCAATACTACGCTTTTGACTGACAGTTCCACTTATCGATTTGATAGCATCTACATCTAAAATGGCTTTGTGTGGTTGGGATTTTCATGATGCTCTCCATTGTTCACAGGGTGCAGTTGGTGGCAGTTGATCCGATTGGCTATCCTTCAAATTGTGATGTAATAAAAAAATACTGCAATATTGACATTTTATTTAAAAAAAAAAAAAAAAACACTTAAAGGAAAACAATAGTCAACTAAATTACTTTAGCTAAATAAAGCAGTTTTAGTGTATAGATCATTCCCCTGCAATTTCACTGCCCAATTCACTGTCATTTAGGAGTTAAATCACTTTGTTTCTGCTTATGCAGCCCTAGCCACACCTCCCCTGGCTATGATTGATAGAGCCTGCATGAAAAAAAACAACTGGTTTCACTTTCAAACAGATGTAATTTACCTTAAATAATTGTATCTCAATCTCTAAATTGAACTTTAATCACATATAGGAGGCTCTTGCAGGGTCTAGCAAGCTATTAACATAGCAGGGGATAAGAAAATCTTAATTAAACAGAACTTGCAATAAAGAAAGCCTAAATAGGGCTCTCTTTACAGGAAGTGTTTATGGAAGGCTGTGCAAGTCACATGCAGGGAGGTGTGACTAGTGTTCATAAACAAAAGGATTTAACTCCTAAATGGCAGAGGATTGAGCAGTGGGGCTGCAGGGGGATGTTCTATACACCAAAACTGCTTCATTAAGCTAAAGTTGTTCATGTGACTATAGTGTCCCTTTAATTATTGAACTTGACTGAGGAATGGCCCAGCTGCCATCAAAGGAAGTGTCCCCCAACCACTGGCTATAAATACAAAAGGAGAAGTCCCGCGCTCACTCCCATCACTACTGGGCCGGCAGCAATGACTACAGTACACATCAGCCCCAATATATAGCAAAAACCAAAGAAAAGAAAAAGTTACCTGCGTTCTCTCCTTAATCCCTATGCATATTTAGACAAATGGAGGTCATTTAGTTGCTCCAAAGGCCATTGGAGGGAATGCCCGCCTGCCAATGTCAAGGCAGACCCCCCCCTAAGCGGGTCCTAACACTGACCCTTCAGCCTGCTTCCTTGGCTATAAATGTTCACATTCCAACCTTGTATCTGTGCAACTTGTGTCTTTGGAGTAGATGCAGCTTGCATGATTTATATGGTTTACTCCTTAAGAGCTGATTTGGCAAAGGGTCTGAATGTTGAAAGCAAGAAAATATAATGAAGCTATGAAGTTGGAACTGATATATACATTTGGAAAGATGTGTACCAGGAACACTTGAAAGCTGATGAAAGCACGTATATGCAGTGTACAGGGCCCACAGCAACATAACAAAGAGCTAGTGAATTGTGTACATCCAGTAACTGTCCATTGAACCATTGGGATGATGTGAATATAAACAGTCCAATGTGTCTGCTATGCATGCTATATTTCGGGGCTCCTCTTGGTTGGTTTATTTCAATTTAAATCACCTTATTTTATTCATCACTAAATGGGCCATAGGGGTCAATATGTTACAAGGTTGATAACACACACTAAGACATAGGAATAAGAAAGATTCACTGCCAGATTTCTCTGTGTTCCCTGTACTAAAGGTGATTTAAATAGAACTAATACTATGGAGGTTATGTTTTTGCTAATTTGTGGGAGTTTCTTTGACAAATGTGCATAGGGACACACCAGCTCCACGCCTACAAATAAAAGGTCCAACTTGACTTGTACTCAGAATGTACTGCTCACTATTCTTATACCACCTTGGTTAATGAAATACCTGCCAAGTTGTATGCAAACCCAACATATATAATCATGTGTTATTACTTAAACATAGTAACATTTGATGCCTGTGAAGAAAAAACGCAAAAAAAATTGTCTTTACCTGTACAAAGACTTATGGTAATTGAGAGATCCTTTATTTCAAGTGATCAAGTAGAGAAGCAAAAATCTGTCTCTCCTTTGCTACAGACTGCTGTGCTACGGTCTCTTTTGTGATATTTATAAAAGAATAAAAGGATTTGATGTGATATACAGTTAATATGTTGAATTATCTGGCCAATCTTTGCATAGCTTCAGTGCACCATATTGCCAGTAGTTCTTCTCTTGGATGAGTGTGAAAGCCCAAAACTAGTCAATGCTTGACCTAATTTTTAATACTCTCGACTGCTTGGATCCTTCAGCAAAGTATAGATCAGTTTACTACCAAAAGAGATAGTAGGAAATATACAGTCTCTTCACAGGGAAATTTCTCAGTGAGAAGCCTCTGATGCTATCCCTTAGTGTATGGGCACACTGCACAACATTCTGATTGGAGGTGTAAGAAAGAGGTATGTAGGGGGGGAGGTAGGCCTGCTCCACTTCTGTTAGCTCAGGGGAACTAATCAGACAGTCAAGGGGTAAAAAGGTTGATTTTGTTTAAAGAAATCAGCAGTTTTCTAAAGTGTCTTTGAAATGGGATACTCCTCACCCATGCAAGTTAAGTGCGTTATGGGTGAGGAATGGCCCTTTAATGCTTAGAGAGAAAATAAAGATATCTGGTGTCATAACAAGCCAAGGTCAGGACTCCAGAGGTATAGAAATATAAATAAGCTATCAGAAATCAGAGTAGTCACAAACAGTGCCAAAGTCAGAAACAAAAAATACACATAAACAATATAGAGCGCTTGAGGATAGAGTACGAGTTGTCATTAATGGTAAATTTTCAGGCTGGACAAAAGTGGTAAGTGGTGTCCCTCAGGGCTCTGTTGTGGGACTGCTTCTATTTAACATATTAATAAATGATCTTGAAATGGGCATTGAAAGCCATGTATCAGTTTTTGCAGATGACACAAAACTTTGTAAAGTAAAAAAACATGAGCAGGACATTGCTTTTCTGCAGAGGGATTTGGATAGATTGGGGGACTGGACACTAAAAAGGCAGATTAAATTTAATGTAGAGAAATGCAAAGTTATGCACTTCGGGATCAAGAATGCACAAGCAACTTACACCCTAAATGGTAGTGAATTTGGGATAACCACACAAGAGAAGGATTTGGGAATTGTTATAGACAACAAATTAGGCAACAATATGCAATGTCAATCTGCAGTTGCTAAGGCCAGTAAGGTATTGTCATGAATAAATAGGGGCATAAATTCTAGGGATGAAAATATAATTTTGCCTCGTTATTAAATCGCTGGGAAGACCACACCTTGAATATGTTGTGCAATTTTGGGCACCTGTTCTAAAGAAAGATATCATGGCACTAAAAAAGGTGCAGAGATGAGCTACAAAATTGATAAAAGGGAGAGAGCATTTTAGTTATTAAGAAAGGTTAAAAAATGTAATTCTCCTTAGTTTGGAAAAACGGCACCTCAGAGGGGATATGATAACATTATACAATTATATTCTGGGCCAATACAAACCATCATCTGAAAATCTATTCATAAACAGGGCTATAAATAGGACACGAGGTCACACATTTAGGCTGGAAGAAAGGAGATTCCAGCTAAGGCAAAGAAAAGTTTTTTTACTGTAAGAACAACAAGGATATGGAATTCTCTGCCTGAAGAGGTGGTTTTATCAGAGTCCATACCGATATTTAACGCCTTAAGGACACACGACATGTGTGACATGTCATGATTCCCTTTTATTCCAGAAGTTTGGTCCTTAACCCCTTAAGGACATATGACATGTGTGACATGTCATGATTCCCTTTTATTCCAGAAGTTTGGTCCTTAACCCCTTAAGGACATATGACATGTGTGACATGTCATGATTCCCTTTTATTCCAGAAGTTTGGTCCTTAAGGGGTTAAGGGGTTAAACTGCAATTGGATAAATACTTGCAAAAACATAGCATACAGGGATATAATTTCTAATTAGTGGAGTAATAGCTGCTTGATCCAAGGAGACATCAGACTGCTATTTTGGGGTCAAAAAGGATTTTTTTCCCCCTAGTTTGTTGCAAAATTGGAGACGCTTCGGACTAGTTTTTTTGCCTTCTTTTGGATCAACGGCAAAAACATATGTGAGGAAAGCTGTACTTGATGGACGCAAGCAGTGGCCATGGCCCCCCCTACATCATGCTGTGCCCCCCCCCAAATGCCAGCAACTTGCTGGCCATGTTCTTCCTTCGGGCTGTAACAGCCTGTTACAGCCCGAGGGAATGCAGGAGAGAGGTGCTGGGGGCTGTCTGGGGCTGAAGGGAGCACTGACAGGCTCCACGGCACAGGCCCTGCCCCCAAACGAAGCCCCGCCTCCCGCACATAAGCCCCGTCCCCGCTGTAAAGCAGCAGACCATGCTGCTGCAGAAGGTGACTGCCTGACCTCCAGCAACAACCTCCAGTGACAGGTAGGCTGGGGTGTGTGTGTGTGTGTGTATGGATGGATTCAGCAGTCTGTGTGTGTGTGTGTGTGTGTATGGATTCAGCAGTCTGTGTGTGTGTGTGTATGGACTCAGCAGTCTGTGTGTGTGTATGGACTCAGCAGCAGTGGCGGATTCAGGGGGGGCAACGGGGCCATTGTCCCCCCCTGAGAAAACCAACGGTCTCCCTCTCCCCTGCCAGCACATGCAGGTGCTAGCCCTGCAATGTGCCTGTGAACCGGAGGGAGAGAGGACCCGGGAGCTCTGCCTGCAGCTCCTCCGGGTCCTACTCTCGCGAGCATGGAGCGTTGTCGTGGTAACTGCGGCAACACTCCAAATCTCGCGAGAGTGAACTCTAGCTCTAGGGCTAGAGATCACTCTCCCCACTGGGACCACCAGGGACTAAGAAGTGCCCCCCCTCCTTCCAGTAAAGGTAAGAAGGGAGGGGGGGACATAAATATTTATTGTAATTAAATAATATATATATATATATATATATATATTGTAAATAAAAATATATATATATATATCACACACATTTGCCCCCATACACACACTGCCCCATACTGCCCTACACACACACTGCCCCCTACACACACACTGCCCCATACCACATACTCCCCACACACACACACTGCCCCCCATACACACATACTGCTCCCCCATACACACACACTGCCCCCATACACACACACTGCCCCCATACACTGCCGCCCCATACACACACATTGCCCACACTCGCACATATACTGCAATACTCACACTCACACACACACACACACACACTGCAACTGTTACACACACACTGTCCCACACATACACTGCATCCCTGACATACACTGCCGCCCTCACTCACACTACAACCTTCAAACACACACACACACACACACTGCACCCCTTACACATTGTACTATTACACACACACACACATTATGTGTGTGTGTGTGTATATATATATAAAAAATAATTGTATTATGCAGAAATGGTAATTGTCAAAACATGAGTAGATCTAGGAGACATTAATATTTGAGCATGCACATGTATTTAATGTGGTATTCCTACAAGATTAGCATCTATAGAAACAGCCCTGTCGGGAATTGGGATATTACAAGAATAATGAAAGTTCAGATAGAGACATATAGAGATCTAAGAGAGATCAGTGTCACTGCCAGTGCCAAATGTGTTATGCTTTCGAGACATGTGTGGGCTACTGTGTTAAAAGCAGCAGCATGAGCGGAGAGTAATGTCATTTTGTCCATTTGCATTGCTTATTTTCATTGGTGGATTCTTTGGAATGAATAGCCTGATGCCAAGTTTCAAAAGGTCGAGGATAGACTTTGCAGTTAAAAACTTTGCATTAAAGTGCTGTGCCACCTAGCGTGCGTGCCCCATAAAATATGACTGGACAACTGCAGCATCATGCAAAGGAAGGAAAAGAAGCAGATTTGCAATTTCATGTCTAATGCATGCTTTGTTGTTTGTTTTTAAGCAACTCTGACAAACTTCCAAGGCCTCCTCTACACAGACCAACAATACCATTATTTTGTGCGCTCCATGCTTACAACACAGCTGATGGTTCCTGATGGTCTGATTCTAGTAATCACTGATGGCAGGATCTATTTACAGGTGCCATAAAAACTTAAGTAGATAAAGAAGACACCTTAACTTCCAAAAGCTGTGTACAGATGTATTCAGATAAATATAGAAATTTTAATATATGTAGGTTTACGATTTCTTTTTTCCCAGCAAGTCTTCCCTGTACTACAACCCCTGGAAAGCTGGAGACTTAAAGGACCACTATAGGAACCCAGACCACTTCAGCTTAATGAAGTGGTCTGGGTGCCAGGTCCAACTAGGGTTAACTTTTTTTTTTTTTATAAACCTGGCGGTTTCAGAGAAACTGCTATGTTTATAAATGGGTTAATCCAGCCTCCAGTGGCTGTCTCTTGACAGCTGCTAGAGGCGCTTGCGTGCTTCTCACAGAAAATCACAGTGAGATGACGCCAGCGTCCATAGGAAAGCATTGTAAATGCTTTCCTTTGAGACTGGCTGAATGCGCACGCAGCTCCTGCCGCGCATGCGCATTCAGCCAAAGAGGAGGAGGAGAGCTCCCGCCCGGCGCTGGAGAAAGAGGTAAGTTTAACCCCTTCCTTCCCCCTCAGCACCACAGGAGTGGGACCCTGAGGGTGGGGGCACCCTCAGGGCACTATAGTGCCAGGAAAACGAGTATGTTTTCCTGGCACTATAGTGGTCTTTTAAATCTGCTGTGATGTGCCCATGTGCATATTATTTGTAATTGCATCATGTCAAAAGGACAATACCACAAATGATATATCAAAAGTTTGTAATATATAATCATCATTATTAACATTTCTATAGCTATAAACCTGGGTTTCCTGCGTCTAAGGTAGTGATGCTACCACTGCTCTAACCAGCTGAAATATATTTGGTTAAAAGATGTCCCTAAAAAGGCACTATTTTTCTCTTCACCTTTATTTATTTTTTATAATTTCATAAATCATTTATTTTCATTATAGATTGACAACAGGGAGGTTCTAAATTATTCATCAACAAATCTTTTAGCAAAAATCTTTCCTGATAAAACGTTTTTCTTTATCCAAATTCAGGCTCTGCCCTCATTCTACAATGAAAAACTGCCCCGTGGTATTAAAAAAAATATATATACGCTTACATATTCACAGTATGCATACATAGATATACATGCTTGGTACACCTGAGTTTACACATATACACAAATGTCCATATATAAATCTTCCCACATATGAGAAGCATTAGTGAATATTAAAGGGGACACCTCCCTAGATGTATCTGGAATGAAAAGGAATGTTGTTGCCTCTCCTATTGGTTTCGGATTCAAGGTTTGCATATTTTCAGTCTCCACACTCCCTTTTATGTATCTACATCTTTAATGACAATGCTGACTTTACTTTTGCCCAAAACAATGGCTCAGATTCTGTTTATTAGGGGAATCTTCAAATAGCATCTATGAAACCAGGAATAAAGCTAAAGTCACTACAGGCTATAAGATTATTTACCAATCATTACTAGGTTTGTGACGGATGACAAAGTGTCTAGAACTGGGTGCTTGGGGTAGAAAGGGGTAGAAAGGCAAGTACTGACACCAGTATCTCTTCCTCCATCTCTCTTCCAGTCAGAGAAAATGACAAGTAGAGAGTAAGCTGATACATATCCAAACTGCTATCCAAAACTGGTTGTAATTCATTGCTACTGCTACAGCTAGAACACAAATTCTATGAACAAGAGATGAGGATACCTGCTTTTTCCATAAAATAGATGGACTAGGTGAATCTATATGAAGATATCTTTCCTCAGACTGTTCTGTCTTTGATATTGTTACATTAGTAAGACATACTTATTAAATTCAGTTTTAGAATTGTAAAATCGAGCAGCATGGTATAAATCAGCAGAAGGCAGGAAACAAACGTTAAGATAATGTAACTGTGCTGGTGTGTCGATTATCAACAGAATTCATCTAGGCAACAGCAGTTAGGTGGGTGGCGATACATTGTTCATTAGAGAAATGGATGGTGAGCGGAACATTACAGGTAAATGCTTTGCTTAAATCTCTCTGGGGCAGTACAGCATAATTTCTGTTCAATATAGGACAACAGCTCAGGCAGGACAAAACATCTAAAGAGTATCATTTTCTATGGACCAAAAACAAGAGCACATTACTCCCCAAACGAACCTTTTAGGTAAATAGCTTTTACTTCAAGAAAGAGCTGTGCAGTATCTAGTTTCTGGTGTTCAGCGGTGTCAGCAAAATCTCCTGTTACAATGGAGACAATAACAACAATTCTAGGAGAAAATATTGCATGGATCACTCAATTTCTGTTTTCTGTTGGTTTACAGTAATAGCAAGAGCAGGATTTTAGAAAAGCAGCATTCTGGAATTCTGTAATGATGTAATAATGTGGGAAGTACTTTAGCAACACAAAGTACTGTGAAATAAAATGTCATTGTATGAAAGATAGAAAGGGGTGTGGGGAGAGGAGCGTCTCAGTAGATATGACAGTTATAGCAATATCCATTTTAGTATGTATCAAGTAAATATACTATTGAAAACAATACAGTAGGCATGGGAACATATTTGTATGTTCTAACAGCTGAATATAGAGACTAATCTGTTTGACTGTACTTTTAGATAACGATACTGTAGACATGTACAACATGATCCATCATAAGATCAACATCTGTAAACACTCTCTAACAATCAGAAATTATTGAAAGGCAACCAAAGAAGCACAAACACAAGTAATGAGTAAGGAACAAGGCGATAGGTCAAAATTCAAACCTGAATACTGTGTGTATGGCCTGAAAAGATATTCTGTCTTTAAAAGGATAGTGAGGATGTGTTACATATCATCTCTACATTACATGGCTACATAAAAGGCCGTGGTTACAACCCATATGTTTAAGAACAAGTTTTATAAAATATCTCTTTGATGTAGAGTCCTTATTCCATTAACACCTTTGTAAAAATGTAAAATCACATAAATCCACGGTCCCTATTTAGGAGGGACAGTACGTCTTTTGAACCCAAGTCCCTCTGTCCCTCTTTTGTATCATAATGTCCCTCTTTTCTAGCAGCTCCTTATTGTTAGAGGTGTGTGTCTGAGTGTATACCAGAGCCACAGCAATAATTCGCACAGCATTGGGTCTTTAAATTACAATACATTTGTTTAGATATTAGTCTGTGTAAATAAGATACATTGTTCTTGTTCTAAATTATATTTTAAATTCCACAAATTGTTATTAATAAGTCACCTAAAATATTTTAGCACAGCCCTGCCCCTGGTTACACCCTACTCACACACCGTCAAAAATTGGGGAAAAAAATTAAGTCGCACTGTAAATATTATCATATCTGTATGTTGTATCTCACATCTACACAAGCCCTGAGCAAAGAGCAATTTTAAACTTATACCCATTATCAGGATGCCAGCAAGGTCCAAATTTATTTCATATACAACGTACAGTCTCCTTTTTTTGTAAATGGAACTAAATACTTACAATTCAAAGAGCTTGACATTTTTGTATTCGACAACTGTGAAATAACAAGTGTGTAAAAGAGTTTTGTACACGGATCTTTAAAGATTATCTGATCTATCAAGCAACTTCACACCTTGTTATCCTTCATATATGCTAAGCTGTGAACGGTCTTCGTAAAACTTCTAGCTCTTACAGTTAGAATACGTCAATTTATTCTGTTGCCCCCCCTCCTGTTTCAACTTTCTGTTATTTCCAGCACACACAAACACGGTTATTAACTAAATGGAGAATTGTCGGAATTTTAAATTTCAGGCCAAATGAGCTAAACTGAACGCAAAGCCAACTTGGAGATTTTTTCTGTTTCAATCGTGTGGCCTTTAAAAGGAGCAGTATAGGGTTTCAGCAATTAACGCCATCCCTTCCTTTTAATTTGTCTGCAGTTTACAGAGGGTAAATATATTGTTATCTACCATTTTTTTCAATTATATCCAACTTCCTATTGATTATAACATTAAAGTTTCTCGTTCACCTGAGTTTGTTGGTGCTTATATGTTTTTTTCTGGTAACACACTGTACAGCAATAGGTTGGAGCTATATAAATAAAGGCGATCATTCTAGTGCATTCCTCTGAACAGGTCATTATTTTATTTCCTCTTTTTGTACAAGAAGGTTGTTTTGAGCTATGATCTATGACAATGTAGGTATCTAGATGCCTTGACAAGGTAGAGGTGAATTTCACAAGCATAGTTGGATCCTCTAATTTTAAGAGATTAGTCTACTAAACAGTGAGTTGCAATAAGTCACAAAACTAGTTTGAAAAAAATAACCTGCACTGGGAAAACATTCAACTCAACGGAAATAAACATTTGGTTCAAATAAATAATTTTAATGTTAAATTTACCAAGCTACTAAATTGTGCAGAATGGAGATCACATTTAATTTAAATGCACACATTCCAGAATATGCTTTTGGCCCGCTGTTTAATTTTTGCATTTCACGAAAACAAGATCGGTTTCTCCTTCTCTAGAAGTATTGGTGTCTTATTATTCAATAAAATTTGTATTTAATTTTTTTTTTTTTTAATAAGTGTGTCACTTAACAAGCTGGAGTGAGTTTATAATGAACTAGCAAAACATCAGTCCAGGTAAAAAGTTGGAAAGATTAAAAAAATAAAAATAAAAAATACACACACACACACACACACACACACACACAACACATTTCCCAGCTCTGCCATTTTTTGTGGCAAATCAATGTTCAACTCATAACAAGTCACATTTTAGTGAACAGACTCCAAAGTGTATTGTGGCAAGGTAGCCTCATTAACAATTATCATTATATGGCTATGCCTAACAGACCACTTTTTAAAGTTTCTGCTTACAATATTTTGGAGTTATTTTGTCAGTAGATTACTATAGCTTTTTATCATTATTTTAGATTACCAGATCCACCAACATGTCAACATATCACTGACAGTTAAAACTAGTGTGGCAAATAATTTGTGAACTATTAGTTCCAATGAACATTGTGAGGCTGTAGGAGCATCAAGGAAAATCAAAATCACGAGATCACATGTAGTGTTAAGGCCAACCATCACTGCATTACATGCACTGTACAGCCCAGCAGTACACTGAGAAATGTCTCAAAAGGAACAAACTGACAAAAAGTTGACAGCTTGACCCGTGTTTCTGTATCTTTACAGAAAGTAAGATGTTTTGGTAAGTTTTAGGTTAACAGAGGAGGACTCTTGACTGGTCACATTTCAGTAGGTAAAAGCATACAGTTCTGTGTGATGCTTTACATGCTACCAGGGAGTAACCAATTATGAGGATTTCTATTGAATCCTTGCTGTGATTTATCAATCCCCATTGTACAGCGCTCCGGAATCTGATGGCGCTATAGAAATGATAAAATAATAATAATGAATCAATTTCCCTGTAGCAGTAAAACTTTCAGGACAACCTTTCTGCTTCTCAAAAAAGGAGCCATGGTTTCACTGCAAAAAGTATTTAAGCAAATTCCTAAATAGTAAATTAAAATGTTTATTTTTGAAAGGAGGTTATGAAATTAAACAAGAATGCTGTTAACTTTACAATTATATCACACAGTAGCATTGTTATGCAGCATTGTATTTGCAGTTGACTTTGTTGTAATGCTTTGCAGGACCCGTCACAGCTTGTGGTCAGAAGGACAGACACCAACCTTCAGTGCCAGTTTTGAAAAGTTGCTCCTCTAAAGAGTGACACAGGGGAACATGCTACAGCTCTGCAGGCGAGATTTATTCAGAGCATTTTCAAATGGCAACGAAGCTAGTTTAGTCGCTACTAGAAGAGGAGGAGGATGACCGCTGTGGAAGGAAAAAAAAGGGTTAATATATATCTATTTCAAATACAATAAACTAAAGAATAGTCTTCCAAGTTTTGTAAAAAAAGATAGCATTCTGGAAAACTGGTCCAAAAACAGGAGTGTCCTGCCGGACTCACAATATGGATGGCATGATATTATAGTAGAATTATTCCAGTCCAGTGAGAAACAAAGTATCAATGTAAAACCTAAGATTCTTTCTGTCAGTCAGCCCTGTCTTACATCTTTTAGAGTGATCATTTTACAAGTCTTTAGTATGCAATGTTTCTCTAATAGAAGCAGAGCCTGGCTTGTTCATTCTCCAGACTTAAAAAACGGGAGGTCTTCCTTATTTTTCTAATTTTATAAAGAAATGCTGGTTTATTTTGACACATCTCAGATCATCATAGTTATTTACTAAAGTGAGAATTCAAAGTGGATTTAAAGTTTAAAGGGCCATCTTACACTTAAAATAATGAATTTTATTTTAAATAAATCACTATTTAGTAGTTATGTCCCAATGAATACATGCATGCATTTGTATATCTTAAAGGAGCTTGCAAGAGCTGCAGTTCTTATGAAGACCTCTCCTTTTTTCCTGGAAGAGACTTTTAGTATCTTTGTGGGGAAATAACATGAAGCTATCCCTGCCCTTTTGTACACATTACACAACGCTGGTCTGATCTGAGGTCTAAGAAGGAGGTATGTGGAGGAAGGCAGGCGCAACCAAGATCAGCTCAGGGGAGCCAACAGAAACCAAAAGTAAAACCTCCCTGGCTGTTTGGTTGACTATAATTATTTAATGATAAAAGTGCTGATTTCTCATAGAAATCAGCAGTTTTATAAAGTGCCTTTTTAATGGGATACTCCTCACCTATAAAGCACTTCAGCAAACTGAAGTGCTTTATTGGTGTGGCGTGGTCCTTTATCAGGGCCAATATAAGCACCCAGACCACTTCATTTCATTGAATGCAAAACAGAAACATAGACATTGTCTACATTACAGGTTTAAGTCTGCCTCTAATGGCTGTCTACCAGATCCAATGCTTTCTTATGGGGAAGGCCTAATTTGTGCGCTGTGCCCACCGGGCATTAGCATTAGGTTCCCAGATCGCCATGACTTTGCGGGAGGATGTACCCAAACTAGGGCAGAGGTGAGTGAATAAAAAGGTTTGGTTTTTCATCCCCTTTTGACTACGGGAGTTGGGGGGGCCAAGGCAGCTTAAAACTCCCTTTCTAACTACGGATGGAACCCACAGCTTTGAGTGTCAAGACTGAAAGTTGTAGATTCACTCCCAGTTTCTTCTACTGGCTAAAATAAACAGATATATTACATACTTGCTTTGTAAATTGGTACAAGCCCTTGTTGTATTTACTAAATTAAAAAGTTTAGTGGCAGTGTTTACAAAGGAGATAATACATTTTTATTTACTTAATTATGGACATGTGCATGCAGGAGTTTCTTTCTGACAAATGATAAAAGCCATCTTTTGTAGACATATAGGTTAGTTTTGATTCTCTGCATTGAAAGGTTTGGAGTTCTGCATAGCTTTGCTACACACACCGTCGCCCAGAAGAATAATTTAACAGCTCACATTTAGTTTAATATTTCTCTGAACATGGATTATGACACAAGCTGCTCTTGAACAGTGATGTGTCTTAGACATTGATCTATTTCCTCGGTGTCGGAAAATGCTTCTACTTAATTCAGACCAGCAATGAAAGAAAAATATAATGTATAATAACACCATATCACTATAAAATAACCAATTTCTGCAAAAGACATTACTAAATTAAACATTTAATATAGCCTTACATTATAATATTGAAAGAGAGCGATGTAAATTAGATTTTTTTTAAAATCACATGGTGGGTTATTGAAGCAGAAACAATGCTTAAAATATTATTTATCAATACCCTTCCATTCCATCATCAAAAACGTTGATAGTAATCAACAGCATGTGTGGTGGGTTAAAACTGGGTGCCACGAGTTTGTCAAATCTCGCTGTGCACATCTACCCTAAAATCAAAAGTTCTTAGGCCATATAATATTTAATATGTGTTTCTCACCCTTCCATAACCATGCTGCTTATGGGCTTTCTTGTGTGCCTTCTTCATCTTTTTTCTCATCTTTTTATCCATGACATGCCCAGGCGGGTATGGCATTCCAGGCATCATGGGATTCATTCCAGGTGGGTAGACACCAGAGGGTGGTGGGCATCCTGGATATGCTGGATTAGGTCCAGGGTATCCAGGTTGACCTGGGGGATAGACAGACTGCCCAGGTGGGTAGACTGCTTGTCCTGGTGGATATACAGGTTGTCCAGGAACAGGGTATTGGCCTGCTGGGTAACCTGGATTACCGGTCGGTGGGTATGCAGGATTTGAAGGGTAACCAGGCTGACCTAGAAGACAAAATAAAAAGATTTTTTAAAAATACAAAATTTGTAAATTAATTAGCATTAGTGAAAAGATGGTATAGATCATTTAAAACATTATCCATCACCAACAGCTCATTGTCCCTATACAGTGCAATACTTTGCCAAATTCTGATAATGGAGGGATTACACATTAAATCAGTGATTCTTAATCCCAGGGTCAGGAGAGAAAGGGTTTATCCACTGGGAAGAATACGCCGCAAATCATATTTGTCAACCTTAGGCAACTGCCCACAATATCTTTGTGTAGTGGCACTGTCTCATCTAGTACAATAGATCCCAATTAACACGTGCTTCCCACCCAAGGGAAATAAATTAATATATATAAAAAAAAGAAAAAAAGAAAAGTGTACCCATTGCTTTATAGACTGGGCATGGGATGGAGAATAAGGTTACATATAGTACACACAAAAACTTTGGGTGTCCATTTAGCAATACAAGAAAAGAAAAATAATTAAAAAAAGAATTTTTTTTTTTATTTTTTTTAAGTACAAATTGCTTACTTCCAAGGCAGTGACAGTAGGGTAAGGTAAATTGTGATTTGGGAGATTTATTCCTCCCACCCACTTTTTACCATGGCCCACAGGAAGAAAAAATAAATACATTTGTGGGGCCTGCAACCACACAAACATATAAATGTAATTAACAACACATATACACATACCCAATTAGCAAAATATTCACACAGACACTCATTCATCGAGACTCAGACTCAAAAAGTATATTCATAAATACTCACACCAACAATCATAAACAGACTCATGCCAACACACATACACTACCACTTACACTATCACACCAACATTCAGATCTAGGCTCACACTCAGACTCAAACCAGGCCAGTTTACTTAAAGGACCACTCTAGGCACCCAGACCACTTCAGCTTAATGAAGTGGTCTGGGTGCCAGGTCCCTCTAGGATTAACCCTTTTTTTAATAAACATAGCAGCTTCAGAGAAACTGCTATGTTTATAATAGGGTTAATCCAGCCTCCAAATCCTCTAGTGGCTGTCTCATTGACAGCCGCTAGAGGCGTTTACGTGCTTCTCACTGTGAAAATCACAGTGAGAACATGCAAGTGTCCATAGGAAAGCATTGTAAATGCTTTCCTATGAGACCGGCTGAATGCGCGCGCGTGTGCATTCAGCAGAAGGGGAGGAGAAGAGGCGGAGAGGAGGAGGAGAGCTCCCCGCCAGGCGCTGGAAAAAAGGTAAGTTTTAACCCCTTCCTCTCTCCAGAGCCGAGCAGGAGTGGGACCCTGAGGGTGGGGGCACCCTCAGGGCACTATAGTGCCAGGAAAACGAGTATGTTTTCCTGGCACTATAGTGGTCCTTTAACAATAAATGGGGATGTGTACAAAATGATAGCAACTGAGACATAGCATCCATCAGTTTACTGAGCAGTTTTAGTCATCTTACATGGTTTTGACTGTGCACCAAGGTCTACTTAAAAAAAATCAATAATGTTTCATGTTTGTACTGCAAAAATTAACATTTGAGTAGGTTTGATTTTGATTGCATGTTATATTTTAGATTAGGCTACCTGATGCTCCACCTATTTTGATTTTGGATATATTACGCATTATATATATATATATATATATATATATATATATATATATACACACATACATATACACACACACACACACACACCGCAGCAGAAACAAGTTGTATATTTTTATTCACATTTTAAAAAACATGGGGTGCCAACTTCACTCATCGTTTGAACACCACTGCACTAGAACATAAAACTCATCAAAATATTACAATGTTGTTGCAAAGCATAAAAATTCCTCACCATCATGCTTCTCATTATCTGTAGTAAACAAGACATTGCAAAGAGACTAAAATGTTACATTAATGAAGAAAGAAAAAAGGCACTGATACGCCCCCTTGTGTTCTCACGTATAAAACCTGTTTAAGTATCTTTATACTACCACCAGGGAAGAGGAAATCAGACTAAAATAGATCACATCTCTATAGCTCAGTTACTTAAACACCTGTTACAGCTCAGGATTAGTTATCCCTGTACACTTCATTTCCTCAACTTTTTGGGTTTATTTATAAAGAAATTCTCAGGCAATATTTTAACAGAGGAGAAATCGGCAGAGGTATTACACTGGTTTCTATGGCAACTGATAAGCTGTTAGAACTTTTCCCTGCCATTGTTCTTTACATATAATCTGATTTGTGTACCCATTCCTGAAGAGGGAAGGAGTGCTTCTCATCCCTCCAGTCAATATATAATGGTTAATATAATTGTTCAATACATCAGACATTCTGAATTCAGTGAGGCTCATTCTGCTATGATCATCAGTAACTAAAGTCTCTGGTTCTTAGAACACTTGACAGTTAGTACAATAATCAAGAATACAAAAATGACTGAATGAGCGGCCGGTTCCTGACAAGCCAAAACATTTAAAAATATGAAGAATTCATGCCAAATAATACAAACATAAACAGACTCAGTGTACCGGGCAATATTTAATAGATATTAAGGACTATTATAAATAGAAACACTATATGTTGCAATAATGGGGGTGCACATCCATTGTTACAAGCAGAGCTGACATTTCACTTTTATCTGACATTAATATGAGCCAGGTCTGAACACAGTTGTTTGCCATTGCATACTTATAACGGCTAAACTTGATAGGGCTACATTTTCACTCAACAATAGGTAGTGTAAATTTGGAGCTCTGATTTTAGGATTGTATCCTGGTACAAAAACCAAAAACCTCTTGGCAAACCTGTAACATGAATGTTTTTCAGAGAGATACATTCTGCCTATTGAAAGGAACACTTTAGTGTTAGGTATACAAAGATGTAGTCCAAACACTAAAGTATCCCTCTGCCCCTGCGGTCTCTGCCCTCTGTCCATAAATGGGTTAAGAAAATCCTTTACATCACTTACCTAATTCCAGCAGGTCACACTCCTCCTCCACCGACTTCAGCCGATCAGGAGGACCTAATGAGTATGTGCAGCAAGAGCCGCGTGCATTAGGCCTTCCCCATAGGAGAGCATTGACATAATGCAAAGTGTGAGAACATCCAGCATTGTTTCACAGAGTCAAACTCCGTGAAACTGCAGAAAGCACCTCCAGTGGCTGTGTGGTAGACAGTGACTAGAGGCAGTCTTAGCACTGAAATGTAAACATTGTAGTTTCTCTAAAACGGCAATGTACTACATTGCAGGGCTAAGAGGGACAGGGGCACTGCACACAGACCACTTCAATGAAATGAAGAGGTCTGTGTGCCTATCATGTCCCTTTAACTGTATAGAAAAGCGTTCTATATCGGTTATCTTTAGATTTATACTAGGGCAGGGGACAGCAACATATAGCACACAAGGTGCCTTTGCGCGGCACGCAAGGCTGCTAGACCCAATCAGACTGAGGATATCTTAGGATCTCCCATGGAGCTCGTCTTTCAGGGGTCCCAGCATGTTTGCAGCAGGTGGTGAGGGGCATTCCTCAGTTTAGTCATCCCAGAGCTTGCAGGAAGTGATCACAGATCAAACAGCCCACATGTATACACACCCCCACAAACAGCCTCCCATGTGCAATACTCTTTTGTAGCACATACAAAAACACGTAACACTACTTACACAATATCAGCATTCCACACACACACACACACACACAAAATCAGCCCCTCATACACAACATTATAGACAGCCCGCATACATATGTGCCACACAATACCACAAACTGCTCATGTACAAACAAAATATAACTGCTCACAGATGCCCAAATAAAACTCTACAAAGCTACGGCAACGTACACTAATTAAAAAAAATGAAATAGTAATAATAGTACTGAAACATGAAGGTACTGCAAAGTTACATTTTGGCACAGTCCAGATAAAAGTTTGCCTACCCTGTACTATTGACTTACTGGTCTCTTTTTGAAAGTTTTGAATCTCATATCACTTGCCAAGTCTTTCATTTATGTCATTAATCCACCACTGACATCACATAGGCTTACTCTGGTGAGGAGGAAACTGGATGCCAATGGTAACTCTATCTACATGTTTGAGATAACCTGTAATCTCCTCTACATGCATGTAACCAACGTCAGCTATCCAACAGGATCTTACACACAGAGCTGATCTCTGCCAGAATTCAACAGTGCAGATGCTGACTTCACCCTGGCAAACAAGGCAGCCCGGATTAACATGGTCACTTCAAGGATATTTTCAGGCCCAGAGGGCCTCAAAACCAAAAATGGGGGCAGCATATTTGCTTGAAACAGAAATTGTAAATCAAAATGCAGGACTAAGACACTTTGAGATAGCTAATAAGGTTTAGTGCAAATATTGGTCACCTACCTGGAATATTTGGATTGTACATTCTTCTCAATTTCTTTCCCTGCCCCAAGAATCAAAATAATTTCTACAAAAGAATCAAAATGCACATTATAAAACTGAAATATGAGAACATTTTTATAAAAATCCACCCCCCTTAAGGCACTGAAGAACAATGTAACAGCAGGATGGCTACAAGGTACACACATGACAGTTCAGAGAATTTATTATTTATTAGTTGCATTGGCTAAGCAGGTGCTTCTTTTTAGTATGTTTATTAGTTGTGTGTCATTTCATTCAGAATAAAATGAATGCATGTAAAATAGTTGGAAAAGGCAAATTGCATACACTAAAAGGTATATGAACACCTCTACTAATTCCTTTTGGATGGTTTTAATTTCACCCATTGCTAGCAAGCTCATAACATCCAGTGCATAGCTAAAAACAAATCTCTATAGACAAACAGTGGGTCATACTGAAGAGCTTAGTGACTTCAAAGGAAGACTTCAAGAACCATAAGACTTCAAGAACCATAACGCCTCTACCTTAAGTAGTCAAACAGTTTAACTTCTTACTTGGGGTCTACTGAGTGTAGGGCTATCTTAAGGGGACACGATAGGCACCCACACTACTTCAATCAGCGTTTTTAAATCCCCCAGAGGAAAAACACTGATTCAATGCTTTCTTATAAAGAAGACCTAAGGTGCATGCGTTACTCCCCTTTCATGCGCATTAGATCCCCCCACCCCATCGACTAACATCTGAGGAGGCACTAGAATCAGGTCGGTGCATAAATGTGCTTTTTTTAACCCTTTATTCGCCACTGGGGGGGCAGAGGGGGGAGGGACGCGATGGAGCAGAGGGACAGTTTTGCATTCCTAACACTACAGTGTTCCTTTCAGCCAGGGTTGCCCAACAGGTAGATCCCCAGATGTTGTGGAACTACAACTCCCATGATGCTTTGTCATTCTAAAGGCATGCAAAGCATCATGGGAATTGTAGTTCCACAACATCTGGGGATCTACCTGTTGGGCAGCCGTACTAAGCAAATGGTTTGACTACTTACAATGGAGGGGTGGCAGGGCATCATAACCATTACAGCCCACTGTAGTGGATATGGTTCTTTGTCCTGGTGAGTATAAGCATTCCCTTCAGGCTTTTTGCAGTAAACAATGTATTTTCTGAGAAAACGCAGTGTTTACATTACAGGCTAGGGATACCTCCATTGGCCACTCCTTACATAGCTACTAGAGGTGCTTCCTGGTACAGTGTGCAGCATTGACATTCAGTGTCTCCTCCCTTTGCATGGAGATACTGAACTTTCCTCATAGAGATGAACTGATTCAAAGCATCTCTAGGAGGAGATTCTGATTGGCCAGTGTTGTGTTTAGCTTGTGCTGACTCTGCTCCTGATCTGCCTCCTTGACAGTCTCAGTCAATCCAATGCTTTCCTATGGGAAAGCATTGTGATTGGCTCAAAACACCAATTCTGATGATCGGGGCAGAGCCAGCAGCAGACTGGAATAAAAGTAAGATTTTACTACATTTAGGGTGGCAAGGGTGGGCTGAGTGCAGATAGTATTTTTAACACGACTGGGTCAGGAATACATGTTTGTGACTCTATAGTGTCCTTTAATGCTACAAGACACAAATCTATTTAGACAACTGGGTGTGTTGACCTTTGTGGTAACAGTTTGGGGTGGCCTATTCCTGTTCTATCATGACTGTGCCTCTGTGCACACAGCAAGGTCCATGAAGACATGGTTTGACAAACTTGGTATGGAGGAGCTCAAATGGCCTGCACAGAGCCCAGACCTTAACCACTTTGAGATTAATTTTATCACTGATTGTGAGCCAGACCTGCTCATCCAACATCAGTGCCTGGCCTTACAAATGCTCTTTTATCTTAATATGCATAAATACAATAAATGGGAGTAATATAAATTTGGCCACATACCATACAGAGTATGTTAGGGGCAATAGGCAATGGACCATAACGGTTTATGAAGTGGAATTGCTTTCCTCAAAGCAGTTAATGTAGATCTGTCACTTTGCAGTTTTAGTTGGTATGTAAGTAGATGTAGGGACTATTTTCTTACGGGGAATGTGATCTTTGGCAGTTGTTGGTAATGGGTAGAGCTTAAAACCCTTAGGGACATTAGGACCGTCCTCCACTAAGTGAGCTTTAAAGGACCACTAAAGTGCCAGGAAAACACTCGTTTTCCTGGCACTATAGTGCCCTGAGGGTGCCCCCACCCTCAGGGTCCCCCTCCCGCCCGGCTCTGGAAGGGGGAAAGGGGTTAAAACTTACCTTTTTCCAGCGCTGGGCGGAGAGCTCTCCTCCTCCGATCTTCCTCTTCTCCTCCCCGTCGGCTGAATGCGCACGCGCGGCAAGAGCTGCGCGTGCATTCAGCCAGTCGCATAGGAAAGCATTCATAATGCTTTCCTATGGACGCTGGCGTGCTCTCACTGTGAAAATCACAGTGAGAATCACGCAAGCGCCTCTAGTGGCTGTCAATGAGACAGCCACTAGAGGAAATAGGGGAAGGCTTAACCCATTCGTTTATGAAAAATTGGGTTAACCCTAGCTGGACCAGGCACCCAGACCACTTCATTAAGCTGAAGTGGTCTGGGTGCCTAGAGTGGTCCTTTAACAACATCAGAATGGTATGGGACATCCTAATGTTCTGTGTGCTCCTCCCATCAAATGCTTCTATGAGCAGCATATCATTGCTGGATCAAGGTTCACTCTGTTCTGGAGAAGGGAGACAGCCACTAGAGGCTTTTTGGCCCTGCAATGTAAACATGCAGTTTCTACAGGAAAGGTACATTCAGATTACTCTGGTTTTCAAGTATGTCCTGCGGATGTTACCTTAGCCCAATATCAAGGGGTTGTTACTATTACCCAATTTATTGGTACTCAGTTGTAGTGGAGCTCCCTGTACCCCGACTGGGTACCTCTGCCAGAGTGGTTGCTTCCTAGCTGGAACCAGGCGAAACGGGTAGGGGAACTAGCTCTATGCGCTCCCAGGAAGAGACGGCACTCAGTCCTGGAAGCTCTTAGTCCTTACAAGGACTTTCCCAGCTGCATCCCCTGCAATCTGGAACAGCAGACACAGGGGTTAAATCTTCTTTTCCTCCAGTAACCAGAGGACACACCGTTCTGGAGGTTAAAACACTGACAATCTTTATTTGGAACACACAGCTTTTATGCACAGACCCCCACACGGGGTCTCCATTCAGTATTATACAATTAAAAAGCAAAGAGGGGGTGGGGGTTGTGTAAGAACCAATGATCCAACACATCCCTTCTGTTTTCCTGCCTAAGTGCTCTACATAAAAACAGAAGCTTTATATCTGTAGCTCACTGATAACAGGAGGTGGAGAATCTGTGAAGAGGCATGATCTTGCATCACAGGGTAAGCAAATGATCACGCAAACACACAGAGGCAAACAAGTGGGTAAAGTAAACATAAATACTGTGATCAATGAAATTAATAAAATATTCCTATTTTTGTTACAAATTTGTAGATTTGTGTGCATGTATATACACACACACACACACACACACACCTTTAGTCTGTAAGATATACTGAATGTTTATATAAATTAAAATATTATTACAAACAGTTACTGCTGAACAGTCAATGTCCATTTCAAAATTACCATTAGAACACTGTATATATTCATTAAAGGACCACTATAGTGCCAGGAAAACATACTTGTTTTCCTAGCTCTATAGGGTCCTTGGGTCCCCCTCACCCTCGGGGCCCCCCTCCCGCTGGGCTCTAGGGTGAGGAAGGGGTTAATCCCTTACCTTTTTTCCAGTGCCAGGCTCCCTCGGTGCTGGGGACTCTCCTCCTCCTTTCCCCATCATCGGCTGAATGCGCATGTGCGGCATGAGCCGCGCGCGCATTCAGCCAGTCTCATAGGAAAGCATTCTCAATGGCGTCTTCTCACTGGCAAAATCACAGTGAGAAGGGCGGAAGCACCTCGAGCGGCTGTCAATGAGAAAGCCACTAAAGTCTGGATTAACCCATTTGTAAACATAGCTTTACAGCAGAAAGGGTTAATTCTAGATGGACCTGGCACCCAGACCACTTCATTAAGCTGAAGTGGTCTGGGTGCCTATAGTGGTCCTTTAAGGCTGATATGCAGGGCCTGTAACTGTGTAATATACCATGGGTTCTTCATACATGGATTATTTTGTATTGAGCAATACGTGTTCATTTTGGAAACTATGCATATGCAAAACTAACAAACTTTGTAAAATACATTTTTTTTTTTTTTTTTTTTAAATGCTACTCAAAAGGACAGATCACATCCAAACTATTTTTTAACATTATAATCCTTTCATGGAGTATTGAAAATAAATAGATTTTTTTTAAATGAAGTTTATGTAAAAAAAACAAAAAAACTCATCCCTATCTTTAGTATATGAAGGGATCATTCAGTCATATACAACTTGGGTCACACAGTATCTGAAAATTGACTATCTCTATAGCATTCAATCTTTAGCACTCCAAATGTTGTTGACTACATATCCCCTGATGTTTTGCCAGCATTATGGCTGTACTGGCATTATGGTAGATTTAATCCACAAAATCTGAATTGCAAATGGTTAGCTGCCCCTGCTCTATGGTCTTCCCTGCTTCACTCCCTGCACAGAATCAGTGAATAGAGACTGTTAGTTTTCAAAACACTGTCTGACCTAAGGTGAATGTATATGGCTGAAGGACCCTGTCATATATTAAAAGGTAGGAATGCATTTTTCTCATATGCTTCAGAAGAAAAAAAATTTTTTTCCTGTTCTAGCATGACTGGATAGATATATTATATATATCTTGCTAAAGACCCGAACGGTTTGAAAGGCTGATTTTTTATTTTTAGAGATGACAATGTTTTGATTTAAAACTTTATTAAAACACATTATTGTTTTATTGGAAGACCTTGGAGTGCACCCTTTATTTGGTTCATTATATACTCAACGTGGGTGTGCACCCAGGCAAGGTTATTATTTTTGTATAACTGTCTGTGGAGTGTCAAGCTTATTTACACACTCCCCAAGAGTGTCCTCATCGGTCTGAACAACAACAACAACTGTTTAGTGGGCTATAAGACCCTTTTTTTGTGGGTATTTATAACAGATAATCACTATCAGGATTATTCACTAAAGTGTGAGAATTGTGGGGAATTCAAAGTAAATTTCAAATTGAAATCCAATGCAGCCAAACTAAGTAAAATTATCCAAGTCCACTATGCTTTTTAGTTTTGGCTAATTTGACCTTAAAGCAATACTGTTAATCCACCCATCTCCAAAATAATTATTTCATAAGGAGAAAATATTTATGAAATACTCACAGTGACAGTGCTGGAATTTCACTGCTATTCCAAAACAGTCAAAATAAATACTGAGACAAAGTAGAGACTAATTGGTCTTAGTAGTTTTCCTACGCTTGACAAAAAGGTGGAGCTACAGTCTGTCCATAGGCAGACTGTTTTTCCCCTCAGTCGTCATGGTTAGGTGCTTGACAAAAAGGTAGCTAGCTCTGCATTTTTGGCAAGCTTGTCAAACATAGGAGGTCTTGCGGGATGCTCCATAAACCTCAGTGTTGTACTCTTGCGCATGCAGATGTGGGCACCTGGCAGTTGAAGCTCCGGGAGATGAAGAGGACCGTCAGGAAGAGCATGGCAGCGGTTCAGGTAACTATAACGCACCTTTCCCTGCACCCCAAGGCAACTGGACACCCAGCAGTTAAAGTCACTAAACAGGTTATGTGACTGATCTGCCTTAAATTTGAAATTTACTTTAAATTCCTAACAATTACATCCTACAGGGCAAAGTGTGAATGTCCTCCCTCTGAACTTACAATTCTATAATCATGTAAGTGTTTTAAGGGTGACTAAAACACTGGTTTGGTTTTTAGACGCACTGGGATTGATTGATCTATCTTTTAATTGTATATCGTTTAGCACCACTTACCCATTTTCTGTGTTTGTGTCACAATTCTATAAGATGATAATGTCAAGTGTATGAGAGATATATACACACACACACACACACAGATAAGTGTGCACAGCTTCCCTTTCTAATTATACAGTATTTATTGTTGAGTGTATATACACCTATGTCTTTATACATAAGGAGTAACAGTGCATGAGTGATCATGCAGTCTGTAAATGTGTAATTAGCATGAATGAGGGTGTGTGTACTCACCTCTCAGATCATAGTCACTATTTATTACAGAGTATATATATATATATATATATATATATATATATATACTCTGTAATAAATATATATATATATATATATAGCTATAGAGAGAGAAAACTACACATCAGTCAGTCAGTGAGTGTCTGTACTCACCTGTCAGTGAGTGTGTCAGTACTCAGCAGTGAGTGAGAGTGTCTGTACTCACCTGTCAGTAAGTGAGTGTGTCTGTACTCACCTGTCAGTGAGTGAGTGTCTGAACTCAGCAGTGAGTGAGTGTGTCTGTACTCAGCAGTGAGTGAGAGTGCCTGTACTCAGCAGTGAGTGAGAGTGCCTGTACTCAGCAGTGAGTGAGGGTGCCTGTACTCAACAGTGAGTGAGTGTCTGTACTCAGCAGTGAGTGAGAGTGTCTGTACTCGGCAGTGAGTGAGAGTGCCTGTACTCAGCAGTGAGTGAGAGTGCCTGTACTCAGCAGTGAGTGAGTGAGAGTGCCTGTACTCAGCAGTGAGTGAGAGTGCCTGTACTCACCTGTCAGGTCTGCACACTGGCTGATGCTCTTTGCTTCTTCCGGGAGACTTTGGACTCTCATCCCTTCCAGTCTCTGCCCACAAATTCCCTCTCCGTCTATTGGTTACTGTATTCTCTATCAGTTATTTGATTGGAGAGTCATTGGTCAGGCCCCGCCCATCACCCTTTAGCCCCACCCTGCAGAGACAGTTCGTTTGTGACACACCTAGCTGCCACTGCAGTCCTATTAACCCTCTCCTTCCCCTTCTATCCTGCTATCTGTGCTTAACCTCTTCATTACCCGGCCCATGTAATTAACCCCCTCACAACCAAAAACATCTCACTGGTCATCACTTCCTCCATATTCTGAACACTTTCCTCAATTTACTGTGCTCTTTACCCCCATTCCATGTCTATTGTGTAATATACCCCAGCTTCTCTGGCTTTTGAGCAATTTACCCCATCTGAATATCAGAATTATTTACCTCACCATTCTTAATATCAGAATTATTTACCTCACCATTCTGAATATCAGAATTATTTACCTCACCATTCTTAATATCACAATTATTTACATCACCATTCTTAATATCACAATTATTTACCTCACCATTCTGAATATCAGAATTATTTACCTCACCATTCTTAATGTCAGAATTATTTACCTCACCATTCTGAATATCAGAATTATTTACCTCACCATTCTTAATGTCAGAATTATTTACCTCATTATTCTGAATATCAGAATAATTTACCTCACCATTCTGAATATCAGAATTATTTACCTCACCATTCTTAATATCACAATTATTTACATCACCATTCTTAATATCACAATTATTTACCTCACCATTCTGAATATCAGAATTATTTACCTCACCATTCTTAATGTCAGAATTATTTACCTCATTATTCTGAATATCAGAATAATTTACCTCACCATTCTTAATGTCAGAATTATTTATCCCACCATTCTAGGTGTCAGAGATATTTACCCCACCATTCTTTTTTTTTCTATATAATCTTTATTGAAAATGTTTTTTTTAAAGTATTCGCATACAGTATTTCAAGAAAAAGACATGGGGTAAATATAAAAACGTTACAATACATTATGTTTCAACAGTAATTTTAACAAAAGAGAGATAGAAATTTTAAGTGCATATAATCTATCTTGAGGACCCTCTTTCCTTTTTCCTATCCCTTTCTTTGTGTAATTATACTCTTTAATACATTTTCATGCCTTCCCTTTGTTTTTCTTTTCTCTCCTTTTTCCTTTCCTCTTTTCTCTCTCTTTTTCCTTCCCCCATTCTTCCTTTTTCTCTCTTTCCCCCTTTTCCTTCCCTTTTCTTTCCGTCACACATAAAACCAAATCATATATACAATTATACAAGACACACATACAAAAAAAAAAAGCCCATAAGCATTAACTTAAAACAAAAATACAAATATACAAAAAAAAGAAAAAAAATTTGCTGATAGTTTATCATGTACTGCTAATGGGAACCTGAAAGGAAGGATGAGAGTTTATCATGTACTGTTAATGGAAACCTGAAAGGAAGGATTAGCATTAATCTTCTTCCTTTTCTCTCTATTTCCTTTTTTCCCTTTTACTTCTTCTCTTTTTTTCTTTCTTTCCTGCAATCTCTCTCTATCATGTTCCCTTTATCTATAACCTGCTTGAAAGTTTGCACACGGGTACCACCGACCCAACTACATTTCCCAGACATATAGGCCCTTATGTATGCTTAGTCTCATTTCTTCTTCCTAACTTTGTAATCCATTTCTGCCATGGTTCTATTTGTGGATTAAAGTAATTATCTTGTCTCAATATCCCTATCTCCATTTTACAATTATTCAACACCTGATGTTTTATCATCTCCCAAGACGGAGTGTCTGGACTTTTCCAGTATATCTTGCAAGAGTAGCTTTAGTTTCCATAAGGATATGAATAATTATTTATTTTTTATCCTTTGGAATTATGGGCCATCCTAGATGTAGTATCATAGAACTACAAGTACAATCTAGATCCACCTCTATTTCTTCCTTACAGAATTTCGCTACCTTTTGCCATAGTTGGAATATATTCGGACATGACCACCAAAATGAACATAATCTGCTCTAGGGGAGGCACAACACCAGCAAAGATATTGCATTCTTGAGTACATTTTTACTAGCTTAGCTGGAACATAATGCCATCTGTTAATAATCTTGTAATGGCTTTCCGATAAATTTAGACAATGTGAAACTTTAATTACTGCTCTATTAGCCCTAAACCATTCATTTCTCGTAATTCTAATTTGTAGATCTTTTTCCCAAGCTCTTAAAGCTGGAAATTTTGGGATTATTTTGTATTTGTTACATAATTTAGAGCATTTTGAGACTAGATTTTTACTGCGTTTATTATTTAATAGATTTATGAAGATTTGTAATTCCTCCGAAATATCCACTACTCTATGTCCCATTAAGAAGTGTTTTATCCTTAAATACGTAAAGTTTTCTCTATAGGGAAGAGAAAAGGCTTGTCTGGTCTCTTCAAAAGGCCTAATCTGATGTTGTTGAAATAACTGATTTATTCTGTTAATGCTTTTACCTATCCATGGTTTGAGATTGAGATCATCAATATAAATGGAAAAAAATACTCAGGTTACCCCACCATTTTTAATGTCAGGGTTATTTACCCCACCATTCTTAATGCCAGAGTTATTTACCCCACCATCTCTGGCTTCTATTATATTTACCCCTTCATTCCCTGGTTTCTGTGTTATTAACCCTCTCCTTCCCTTGCTCCTGTTATTTACTCCATCTCTCCCTTACTTGTGTGTTATTTACTCCATCTCTCCCTTACTTCTGTGCTTTTACTCCATCTCCAGTTAGTTTAGAGGGGCATATATAATATGCTTACAAAGTGGAACCTCCCCAAAAATTTGGCGCTGTAGCACAGATAGTAAATGATTAGTTGTACTTAGGAGCAGGTGTGCTTTTGTGTGTACAATTGGTGTTTGTATATAATGTTAGCGTTTTGATACAGGGGTGTGTTTGTATGTAATGTTTGTATTTGCGTGCAGGAGTGTGCTTGTATGTAATGTTTGCATTTGCGTGCAGGGGTGTGCTTGGATGTAGTGTTAGCTTTTAAATGCGGGTGTACATTGGTGTGTAGTATTAGTGTTTGAGTGTTTGAGTGAAGGGTGTGTTTGAGTGTTTGTATATAAATTTAAAATTTTAATTCAGGGTTTTTTGTATGTAATGTTTGTGTTTGCAGGAGTGTGTTTGCATGTTGTGTTGGTGTTTGATTGCTGGGATGTATGCACATATATGTGTTTGATTGCTGGGATGGTGTTTGATTGCTGCGATGTATGCCACGTACGTACGTACGTATGTACGTACATACATACACAAACAAATTAACACAGAGACACATACACACACGTTCATATACACACTGACATATACAATATACACAAAGACACAAAGATGCACACCTTGACACAATCACAGACCTTTACACACAGATACACACTGGCACATACACACACCAATACACACATACTGACATACACACACACACTCAGATACACCCAGTGACACATACACAAACCTTGACACACAGATACACACACTGACACACACTCAGACACACATTCTCTTTGACACACACATACACTCTCACTGACAAACACACATACTCTTTGACAGACACATACACACTCACACATTCACTGACAAGCACAGATACACTCTCACTGACAAACACACATACACACTCACTGACAAATACACACACACACCTACTGACAAACACACATACACACACACTCACTGACAAACACACATACAAATTCCTTAACAGACACACACACACAAAATTTATTTCACTCCACCCAGCCTCCCTACTTTTGGGAGTGCTCGCATGGAGTCTCTATTTCCCTGGGGTCCAGGGGGGCTGCTGGGTTGAGCGGCTGGCATGCTGTCCCTGGGGTCCGGGGGGGATGCTGGGCTGAGCGGCTGGTGTGCTGTCCCTGGGGCCCAGTGGGGCTGCTAGGCTGAGCGGCTGGCGTGCGGGTGGCGAGGGAGCAGTGATCTTCCCACTCAGCTCTCTCTTGCGCCTCTTAGTGATGCTGCCAGAGCCGGAGTGACGCCATATTTCTGCTCCGGCATCACTGCGGTGCGTGCGAGGGAGCTGATCAGGGAAGAGTACTCCCTCGCCGCCCGTCTCAATTATCAGCGGCGGCAATTTTGTTTCCCAAAATTATGGGGTTTTGTGGGGTTCCGCAGAACACCAATTGGGAAAAGCTGCTCTATACACTTTATTCTACACTTTCCAGTTACAATGTATCCACTGTCCTTTGTGAGGCTGTTACTGGAAACAATGTATCATGATGAGCAGTTGTGTGTGGTCTGATATAAAGGGCTTTTTTTTTTTTACAGTTTTGGGTGATAATCACTGTTACATTAAACCTTATTCTACCAGGAAGCAGTGGAATTAACCCAATTACTGCAATATTTCCAGGCTCCACTAAGAATAATTTATTAAAATGCCTTTTACATGATACATCGTTTAACTTTTAATGCCCGAGTGTGTCAGAGAGCTGTCGGTTACAGACAAGCTGCGTCATTTCCAATTCAAAATGTTCTACTGTTCATTAACCTGAAGTTCTCTCCTTTGTTGTATTGTCTGTCTCTGCCTTTTCACTCCCAGAAACTGCAATCTTGAATCAATCATTTACCCTCATGTATCACCCTTTATTGCTGTTACATTGGGTTATCCCTATGTTTACAATATTCTGTTGAACAGTTACATTTATATTGCCACTCCCCTGTGCTCAAACACTCCCTATTTATTGTCCTCTTTGTAATAGCTGAGCATGTGATCTAACAGGGAGGGTGTCAGCCCAGGAGCCATGGGTACTATTACTGTATACTTGGAAGCAGTACTTACTCATTGCTTATCAGCTAGTGTCTTATGTTATAAATTAAAATTTTCATCCAATATAGCAGTTACTACCAGTGGTGTATTCTGGTTTTGTGCTGCCCTAGGCATGACAAAACTCAGCCCCCTCCTCCCCCTTCTAAATTTCACTTCCTGTTAAAAACCAACACACTCTTTGCCTGACAGGCACACTCCTTCACTGATGCATACACTGACATACACTCACTGACAGATACACAGTCATTGTCACACACACTGATTAACCAACACACACTTTCACTGAAACATACAAACTCACTGACAGACATGCACACTCACATTCACCGACAGACACACACATCCACCGACGGACACACTAACTGACACATGCATTCACTGACAGATACACATACACACTCACTGACAAATCACGTGCTCACTCACTGACAGACACACACTCACTCAGTGTCAGACACACACACACACACTGTGACACACATATACTCACTGACAGACACACACTGACAAACACATATACACTCAGTGTCAGACACACATTTGCTAACAGACATACACATTGACTGACAGATACACACTCTCAGTGACAAACACGCATGCACTCACCGACAGACACACACTTACTCAGTGTCAGACACACACACACACACTGTTACACACATATACTCACTGACAGACACACACTGACAAACACATATACACTCAGTGTCAGACACACATTTGCTAACAGACATACACATTGACTGACAGATACACACTCTCAGTGACAGACACGCATGCACTCACCGACAGACGCACACTCACTCAGTGTCAGACACACACACACACACACTGACACACATATACTCACTGACAAACACACATACACACTCACCGACAGACACATATACACTCAGTGTCAGACACACACATTCGCTAACAGACATACACAATCACTAACAGACATACACACTCACTAACAGACACAGACAAATAAAAACACTCAGCAACAGACACACACACATTAACACACTCACTAACAGACACACTAGCACACTAACTGACACACACACTCTTACTAACAGACACACACACACTCTCACTAACAGACACACACTGACACGCACTAACAGACACACTCTCATAAACAGAGACATACACACTCTCACTCTCAGACACACACTGACACGCACTAACAGACACACTCTCATAAACAGAGACATACACACTCTCACTCTCAGACACACACTAACACTCACTAACACTCACTAACAGATAAACACACATTTTTTATTTATTTATCATTTGCTTAAATTTTTGTGGTATTTTGGTGGATTCTTCCCTGGGAACCAGGGGGCTGTCAGGGCAATGCAGGTGGTCTGGCGGTCGGTCAGAAATGCAGACGCACAGTTCAGGGAGCTCTGATCCTCCTGCTCAGCTCCTTCGCCCGCCTCTTAGTGATGCCGGAGCCAGAGTGACATCATATTCCGGCTCCGGCATCACTGCGGTGTGCGCGAGGGAGCTAAACAGGAAAAGATCAGGGGAGAGTGCTCCCTCGCCGCCCGCAACATCAACGCATGCCAGCCTCTGGGGGGCCCTGAGGTGGCCAGATGGCCAGCTCCTGGGACCCACAGGACAAGAGGCTGACATGGTATCTTCCGGGGCGTTTGGGGGTGACTTTTTTTGCTGCCCACCTGAAAGTGCCACCCAAGGCAAATGCCTTGTCAGCCTCGCGGTAAATACGACGCTGGTTACTGCAATGTTTTTAGTTGAGGTTTGCCTAGAGCACTCAAACATGGGTTCCATGTTATTTTAGACACCAATGGATATCACAGGCACTTCATATTAATCGGCCCCAGGCAAGTCTACGAACAATTTGGTGTGACAGGTGGCATTTACATTTTCAGTCATAATTAGGATCAAGTCTGACACATTGGAGTTGTGTATAAAGAGTAAATCTGGTCCAAAGTTCTAAAAGTGGAACAGTTATCAGGATCATTTCATTGGTTACCACAGCAACTACTCCATGTTTACAACCTTGCTACTGAATTACTCTTTACACATAACCCCTGCAGTTTTTCGTGCTAAAAATAAACCCTGCAAGTATAATCAGTAGACTGAGGTGCTCTGCCCTGAATATGAAATTATGACCTTTTTTTGTTTGTTTTTTTTGCATGAAAAACCTTGATTTTTCCAACAACCTAAGCTAAGGAAAGCCCAGTCAGAGGCAGTCATTACCAGTAATGGCCAGGGAGTATATGTTTCTCTGTTTAACCTAGGAAATCTTGCACAACACTGAAAAGTCAGCAAAAGAAAAGTAAACATATTTTCAGGAACCTAGTTGGTGAAAGAATTGAAGCAATTTTAACTAAATAATGAATTCTGCAGTGTCTTACATAAATATTCCCGCTTGGATTTTCCCACAGTCTGTTATGTTACAACCTAGAATTAAAATTAGTTTTATTAGGATTTTTACCCTTTGATTAACCCTTTGATTAACACAACATGGATTTGAAGTGCAAATCATTTATGATTATGACAGAAATGTTAATTAACCAAATTTTTAAAAATCCACACAGATTTAATGACTGGTAAAAGGGACACTGTAGTCACCAGAACAACTACAGCTTCTTGTATTTGTTCTGGTGAGTATAATCATTCCCTTCAGGCATTTTGCAGTGAAGGGTTTACATTACAGCCTAGTGATAACTCCACTGGCCACTCCTCAGATTGATACTAGAAGTGCTTCCTGGGGCAGTGCTGCACAGTGAGCAGCACTGCCATTCAGTGTCTCCACCGTCTGCATTAGACACTGAAATTTCCTCATAGAGATGCATTGATTCAATTAATCTACACCCTCGGTATGCAGACACTGAACTTTCATCATAGAGATGCATTGATTCAATTAATCTCTATGAGGAGATGCTGATTGGCCAGGGCTGTGTTTGAATTGTGCTGGCTCTGCTGCTGATCTGCCTCCTTGACAGTCTCAGCCAATCCTATGGGGAAGCACTGTGATTGGCTCAGACCACCACTTCTGATGATGTCAGCAGGCAGGTCAGAGGCAGACAGGGGCAGAGGCAGCAGCTGAAGACTTGGATAAAGTAAGATTTTACTATATGTAGCGAGGCAAGAGAGGGCCGGGTGGGTGGGAAACAATTAATTGTTTCAGCAAATAGATGATAATATACATTTCTGTAATTTCTGTCTGCACTGAAAAGTACATTGCTGTATATTAAAAATATTCTGCATTTCCATTACATATGTTGTTCAAAAATATTTTAAAAGGATTTTTCTAAAGCTGTGAAGGGAGTATTTAAGGGAAACTGCGGCCCCCAATTTTTTTTTTAGATCATAATCACGTTTTGAAAGGAAATAGATTTAATTTATTTTTATTTTTTTTAAGTATAGGAAAAAAATTACAAAAACAAATGCCTACATTTAGTATATGGCAGGATCCTTGAGCCATATACATGCACCTTGGGTCAGACAGTGTTTGAAACCCAACAGATAGTTGTTCTGATGATGTCTCTGTACCATAGGCGTGCGCAGCCTATTGCATTAGGGTGTGCACCCTAAAGCACAAGCACACGCCGCATATATATATGTATGTATGTGTATATATATATATATATATATATATACACACATACACATATATACACACATACACACACTGCTGTGTGTGTGTGTGTGCTGTGTGAGGGTGCTGTTAGTGTAATGTGTGTGTGACGGTGCTGGTAGTGTGCTATGTGGGTGAGGGTGTTTGTGTGTGCGTGCTTGTGAGGATGCTGTTAATGTACTGTGTGTGAGGGTGCGGTTTGTGTGTGTTTGTGTGCGCTTGTGAGGGTGCTGTTAATGTACTGTGTGTGAGGGTGCTGTTTGTGTGTGAGGGTACTGGTAGTGTGCTGTGTGTGTGTGTTAGGGTCCTGTTTGTGTTTGTGAGGGTACTGTTAGTGTGTGCTGTGTGTGTGTGAGGGTGCTGTTTGTGTGTTTGTGAGGGTGCTGTGTGTGTGGTGTGTATGTGTGTGGGTGCTGTGGGTGCTGTGTGTGGTGCTGTATGTGTGTGGGTGCTGTATGTGTGTGGGTGCTGTGTCTGTGGGTGCTGTATGTGTGTGGGTGCTGTATGTGTGTGGGTGCTGTGTATGTCTGTGGGTGCTGTGTGTGTCTGTGGGTGCTGTATGTGTGTGGGTACTGTATGTGTGGGTGCTGTGTATGTCTGTGGGTGCTGTGTATGTCTGTGGGTGCTGTATGTGTGTGGGTGCTGTATGTGTGTGGGTGCTGTGTATGTCTGTGGGTGCTGTATGTGTGTGGGTTCTGTATGTCTGTGGGTTCTGTATGTCTGTGGGTGCTGAATGTGTGTGGGTGCTGTGTGTGTGTGGGTGCTGTGTATGTCTGTGGGTGCTGAATGTGTGTGTGGGTGCTGAATGTGTGTGGGTGCTGTATGTCTGTGGGTGCTGTATGTGTGTGGGTGCTGTGTATGGGTGCTGTATGTGTGTGGGTGTGTGTATGTCTGTGGGTGCTGTGTATGTCTGTGGGTGTTGTGTATGTCTGTGGGTGCTGAATGTCTGTGGGTGCTGTATGTCTGTGGGTACTGTGTATGTCTGTGGGTGCTGAATGTGTGTGGGTGCTGAATGTGTGTGGGTGCTGAATGTGTGTGGGTGCTGTATGTCTGTGGGTGCTGTATGTGTGTGTGTGCTGTGTATGTCTGTGGGTGCTGAATGTGTGTGGGTGCTGTGTATGTCTGTGGGTGCTGAATGTGTGTGGGTGCTGTGTATGTCTGTGGGTGTTGTATGTATGTGTGCTGTATGTGGGTGGGTGATTGTGGGGGAGGAGGTGGGGATACATTAATTGCTATCCCCCCTCCCTTCTTACCTTTTGTAGGGAGGGGGGATCGTGCTGCTGCTTTCCCTGGTGGTCCAGTGGAGAGTGAACTCTAGCCTCTGTGGGGCTAGAGTTCACTCTCGCGAGATTTGAGGAAGCCGGCAATAGCTCCGCCGGGTCCTCTCCTGCCTCCCTCCCTGCCTGTGGGTCGGTGGGGAGGGAGGCTGAGAGCAGAGCCGGCGCTCGGATAGCGCCGGCTCTGCATGAGCCGACAGGGGAGATCCTGCCGGTCTCAATACACATAGGCGTGCCCCGGGATTAGGGTGTGCCCAGGCACACCCGGCACACCCCGTGCGCACGCCTATGCTCTGTACTGTACAGGGAGTGACGCAGAGAAGATCAAAGAGCCTGTCGATTTTCAAACATTGTTTGACCCAAGATGTATGTATATGGCTGAAGGATCTTGCCATCTCCTAAAGGTTTTTCCTTTCAAAATTTATGAAAGGATCAAATATATTACAGAACAGTTTGTGAGCCAACAGTTGTCCTTTTAAGAGGAACAGCCACTTACAGAGAAGTAACTGTTCCACTTCCATGTTGAGGCAATGTTATAGAACCGTGGTGTCTGGGGTATTCATGCATGTTCCGGCATTAATCTGAGAAATGTAAGTATGCGTGTGTGCAGGGCATTTTACACAGCAGTCCTCTATTTCTGTATGTAACCCGGATATGTTTTCACAAATAAATATCTTTGTAAACTATTTAAAGTTGCTCTGTTACTTTTGAGTATTTCACAAACATACTTTGTTTATAAAACACTGATTTTGACTGTGTTGGAATTTCATTGAAATTCCAATGCAATCGAAAATATCCCTAGACAAAGCAGAGACTATTTTGTTTTACGGACAATGTCTGAGGTTGACAATGGCTGACAAAAAGGCAAATCCTCAAAGGAGATTCTGCCATCAAGTCTTGGCTTGAAAGTGTCAGTGAGAGAAGAGGCAAAATGTCTCGTGTGAGATTGCATTGTGGGATCTTCCATAGACCTCTCTTTTCTACTCCTGCGCATGGACTAGACCTCATCCTTGATGCTGGCTCATTGTGGATGTAGTGCCAGGAACTAAAGATGGAAGCAAATATATCTTCTTTAGTTCTTTTCGTGACCGTTCAAGTACAAGTAGGCATTTCAGTTTGGATTGGCTTTGCAAAATAAAAAAAACTAATTATTGTATGAGATCCAGTAGCAGCAATCTCACTACCAAAGGACTTCTATTTTTATTCAATTATTGTTTTGTGAATTTATTTTATTTATTTATTGGTATTTGCATATCAAACTCACTGCTGTGCTTTGCTAGTCGCTAGAGGACCAATCTAAGAACCATAACCACTTCATTCCAATGTACTGATTTTGCTACCATTAGTATGCTGCACGGTCCCTTAGTTCTTGGTGAAACTGTTTTGCAAGCAGTTTGATCAAAACCAGGTGAACCAAAGGCATCAGCAGCATGATCCCATGTTTGGCTATTGCTAATGTCAAAGTCCCAATTCCACAATAGCAATATAAATTTCTTCCATAAT